GTGTGGTGTGGGACAATGTGGTGTGAGGCAGTGTGATGTGGGGGTGTGGTGCGGGGCAGCGTGGTGTGGGGCAGCGTGGTGTGGGGCAGCATGGTATCGGGCAATGTGGTGTGAGGCAGTGTGGCGTGGGGCTATGGGTGGCATGGTATCGGGTGGCACGGTATCAAGCAGCATGGTATCAGGCAGCGTGGTGTCGGGCAGCATGGTGTGGGGCTACGGGTGGCATGGTATCGGGCAGCATGGTATCGGGCAGCGTGGTGTGGGGCTGCTGTCCTGCCCGTGGGGCTGCGGTTCCAGCTCCGCTTCCTTGCAGGCCCTGAAGTACTCCTTCCAGACCCACGACCGCCTCTGCTTCGTCATGGAGTACGCCAATGGGGGCGAGGTAGGGGCTGGGGCTGCGGGGGATGGGCCTCACGGCCTGTGGACCCAGCCCTGGCAGCTGGGCCGCCCATAGTGGGGCTAATCCTTCCCGGAACCTCGGCTACTCTCCACAGCACCAGACGGTGCTCCCGGCTGGGTGGGTGGTATGACGCCTGCCCAGGCAGCTGCCTGCTGTGGGGTGACTTGTTCCTGCTGAGTTAGGGCTTCTGAGACTTTCCAGGCCCCCGTGCCCTCTGGGGGCTGGTCCCTTCCCTGTGCCCAATGCCCTGAGCCCCTGCCTGAGAAACCCCAACCCTGCAGGCCGTGGGGGCGGAGGCCCCGGCCACGGCTGTGCCTCAGGTCGCGCTTCCCACAGCTCTTTTTCCACCTGTCCCGGGAGCGTGTGTTCTCTGAGGACCGGGCCCGCTTCTATGGCGCCGAGATCGTGTCAGCCCTGGACTACCTGCACTCGGAGAAGAATGTGGTGTACCGGGACCTCAAGGTGCGCCGGTGGGCACTCGGGGTGGGGGCAGGGCCCTGGGAGCCTGGCGGCACTGACCTGAGGCCACCTTTCCCCTAGCTGGAGAACCTCATGCTGGACAAGGACGGGCACATTAAGATCACAGACTTTGGGCTGTGCAAGGAGGGGATCAAGGACGGCGCCACCATGAAGACCTTCTGCGGCACACCTGAGTACCTGGCCCCCGAGGTGTGCGCCCCACCTGTGTGCATACGCGTCGCTGTGTCCCCACGTCCCGAGCACACGCAAAGCTGTGTCCTCTCTGTGCCCCAAGCACGTCACGACACCTCCCCCGGACACCCCCTGATGCCGAGTCCTGCCCATCTGCCGCCCGTGCAGGTGCTGGAGGACAATGACTACGGCCGTGCGGTGGACTGGTGGGGGCTGGGCGTGGTCATGTATGAGATGATGTGCGGCCGCCTGCCCTTCTACAACCAGGACCACGAGAAGCTTTTTGAGCTCATCCTCATGGAAGAGATCCGCTTCCCGCGCACGCTTGGTCCTGAGGCCAAGTCCTTGCTCTCAGGGCTGCTCAAGAAGGACCCCAAGCAGAGGTGAGGGCCACCCATCCCGGCTGCAGGCTCTTCCTCCATCCCCTCACCCCCAGGCTGCACCTGCCCCTGTGCCAGGCGGTCCTGGCACCTCCCAGACTACACTGATAGCCAGAGCTTGATGTCCTTGGCCAGGGCTGATCCCCAAAGCCTCAGGCACAGGCAGAGTGGCTGGGTAGGGCAGGGTCAGTTGGGCCTCCATCCCCAACCCTGCAGCCCCCACACCCCCAACTCAGGAAGCCCTTGCCTGCCGTGAGCCCTGGGGTGCTTTGCTCCCCACAGCTGCTCAGGGATGCTGCACCACCGGTTGCCCTCTCTGGCCCCAGAACGTCCTGTCCGGCGGGCCCTACATCACAGGAGGAAGGGGTCTGAGCCTGGGGCCTGGGTGGGTGGCAGTACCGACACTGTGGCCTTGTTTGCTACCCGCAGGCTTGGCGGGGGCTCTGAGGACGCCAAGGAGATCATGCAGCATCGCTTCTTTGCCGGCATCGTGTGGCAGCACGTGTATGAGAAGAAGGTGCGGCTGCTTCCCGCATATCCACACTCACGCATGCACGTGGCACACTCGCCGGATTTCCCACACACTCGCCCTCACCTCGGGAGCCTGCTGCAGTCCTGGTACAAGGAGGGCCTTGCTGCACCAACCTCAGTGCCTGCTGCTCAGAAGCTCTGGCACTGCTGGCTTCCTCCAGGAAACTGGCCTGGTCCTCCTCATTTCCTCCTCCCCTCAGAGATGTGTCACACTCTGAGTGCCAGCCTTGGGGGTCCCTTCCCTGATGCTGTGCAGTGAAGGCTGGCTGGCGGTGGACCAGGGGTGCTGCCCCTTGCTCTCTACCAGTTCCTCCTGTTGTCTGATCTCAATCCTTTATGCTGCAAGGAGAGCCCAGCCCTACTTTCTGGCTGTGCAGGGACGGGACAGCACCTACTTTCCTGGCACATGGGGGAGTCCGCCCTGGAGGGAGGCAGCTCTGTCTACATGAGTCACCATCCTGGGTGCTCATCTTTCAGGAGCCCTGGCCGTCACCCTGGCTGATGGGGTCTGCCGGCTAGGTTCAGAATCCTGCACTCTGAGGTGCTGGGTGCCCTGTCACCAGGTGTGCTTCTGCCCAGTTCCCAGCCTGCCCCTCCCCTGAATGCCTGTCGTAGGCCATGTGCAGCTGGTCAGGCTGGGCAGCCCTGGGACCCAGCTGGGCACCTGTCCTCCCATTAACACAGGGTGCCCTGGCTCTGGTCCCAGTTCCTGCCCTGAGGCCTGCCACCCTCCAGCCCTGCCCTGCCCTTCAAGGGTATGGGGGGCCTGGGCAGCGCTCAGCCTCTGCCCAGCCTTGACCAGAGACCTTGCTAATTGACAATGGACAGTGCTGGTGCCCAGGCCAGACTTGGGTGGGGCAGTGCTTGAGGGGATCCTTGACTGTGGGACCTGAGGGGCTCTCTGGCAGCTCCTCACATGTGCACATCGCCTTATAGTCACCCTTGATCCTGGGTCATCGAGAGTGCTCTCTGCAGCCAAATGCCAGGACGCTGCGATCCTGTAGTCCCTGAGCCATGGAGGCAGGGTGCGCTCATCCTGTGCACCCTGTTCCACAGTCTCCCTCTTTCCCAATTTACAAGAAGACTAATAAAAATAAGAAAACAAGAAAGAAAAAGCAAAAATAAAGTCATCACCTACTGGTAGCAGGGAGGGTCTCAGAGCTGGGCCGCACTACCTCCTGTCGCCTGCTGGGCTGCTGTGAGGGCAGCTTCGCGTCTCAGCTGATGAGGGTGTCTCCGTGCTCCTGCACCCCTCATGTCCCTCCCTCCCAGAGCTGCCTCCGTGGGGGGCTGGTGGCTTGCCGCTCTCTGACATCAGTGCTGCCTTGAGACCCCTTAGAGATCCAGGTGCTTTGAGGGTCTGGGTGTGCTGGGAGTAGGGAGCGAAGCTCGTGACTGTCCCGTCTGCCCACCTCTGCAGCTCAGCCCACCCTTCAAGCCCCAGGTCACATCGGAGACCGACACCAGGTATTTTGATGAGGAGTTCACGGCCCAGATGATCACCATCACACCACCTGACCAAGGTGAGGGGCCACTGTGCCTGCCCCCGCCCACTCCCTTTTCTCTCCACCCTCAGAGGCCTGCAGTGTTCAGTCTTTTTGGTTTCAGATGTTTTAAAATCCAAATATTTAAAAAGGTTCCCTTTGGAGAGTGCCAGTGATGAGGGTGGGAGGCAGTGCTCTGAGGGCCCAGGTCCTTGTGTCAGTCTGTGGGGTCCTGCCTCAGTTTCCTGGCGGCATGACAGCGTGCTGGCTGCGTTTTAAGAGGTTGCCTCCTTACTGGAGCTGTGGGTGGGTAGAGGTGGCAGGGAGGTGGGGCGCCCGGATCTGAGCTGTCTACACCCACAGACGACAGCATGGAGTGCGTGGACAGCGAGCGCAGGCCCCACTTCCCCCAGTTCTCCTACTCGGCCAGCGGCACGGCCTGAGCTGGCAGTGGACTGCGCTGGACAACAGCTTGGAGGGATGGAGAGGCGGCCTCGTGCCATGATCTGTATTTAATGGTTTTTATTTCTCGGGTGCATTTGAGAGAAGCCACGCCGTCCTCCGAGCGCAGATGGAAAGACGTTTTGGTGCTGTGGGCAGCACCCTCCCCCGCAGCGGGGTAGGGAAGAAAATTGTCCTGCGGGTTTTAATTTATTTCATCCAGTTTGTTCTCCGGACGTGGCCTCAGCCCTCAGAACAATCCGATTCACGTAGGGAAATGTTAAGGACTTCTGCAGCTATGCGCAATATGGCGTTGGGGGGCCGGGCAGGTCCTGCCGCTGCGTCCCCTCACTCTGTCAGCCAGCCGCCCTGGGCTGTCACCAGCTGTCTTTCATCTCTCTGGGGCCCTGGGCCTCAGTTCAACCTTGTGGCACCAGATGCAACCTCACTATGGCATGCTGGCCGGCACCCTCTCCTGGGGGTGGCAGGCACACGGCAGCCCCCAGCACTAAGGCTGTGTCTCTGAGGACATCATCAGGCTGGGCCCCTGGGATGGGACCAGGGATGGGGGATGGGCCAGGGTTTACCCAGTGGGACAGAGGAGAAGGTTTAAATTTGTTATTGTGTATTATGTTGTTCAAATGCATTTGGGGGGTTTTAAAAAATCTTTGTGACAGGAAAGCCCTCCCGCTTCCCCTTCTGTGTCATGGTTCTTGGTGACTGTCCCACCGGGAGCCTCCCCCTCAGATGATCTCTCCACGGTAGCACTTGACCTTTTCGATGCTCAACCTTTCCGCTGTCGCCCCAGGCCCTCCCTGACTCGCTGTGGGGGTGGCCGTCCCTGGGCCCCTCCAGGCCCTCCTGGCCAGATGCTGCCGCTGCTGCTGCACCACGGCGTTTTTTTACAACATTAAACTTTAGTATTTTTACTATTATAATACGAAACTTTCCCTCCAAATTCTTCAATAAAAGTTGCTTTTCAAGTTTTTGACTCACTTTGCTGGGTGGAGGAGTGGGTGGCCAGGGAAGGAGGGGGGCCTTGGGAGGGAGTAGGGGGTCCCAGGAGGGAAGCAGCATCCTCAGAGCAGCTGGTCCCCCCCAGCTCCTGGTGGGCACCACCACTCCAGCAGGTTTGGGGACAGGCTGTGTGGTGGGCTGAGGCAGGAGTCTGCAGGTCTGTGCCCCGGGGCAGCCTCCTGTGGAAGGTGTTCCTCCCCCATCTCCAGAGGCCTGGCCTGAGGGGAGATGGGAGGCCCTGGCTGGCCCTGCCCTATTGGGATCCACCTTTTCTTCCTTTGACCCTACCCAGCTTCACCCCAGCCTTGAAGACCATTGGACCACGTGGCCATCTGCCCCCCAGCCCCAGCTGCTGTTCCCCTGGGTAGGGCAGTAAACCAGACCCTGACCACCAGGAAGGACAGACAGGGCAGGGCCCAGAGCTGAGGCCAAGGTCATGGCCTGGGCCGCGGTGGAAGAAAGGCTGGGAGGCCTGAGAGTGGCCTGTTGGAAGCCGGACAGAGCAGGACGGGGGCTGCAGGGGTTGGGAGGGGATAGGCTGGGGCCCAGGTTACCCGCAGAGCACTACTACATGGAGCTCAGCCCCAACAGCCTGCAGAATGTGCCGGTGCTGCCACCTGGTGGACGTCTGCCTGAATCGCTCCCTGAGCCAGGAGAGGAGTCCGCTGCCAAGCAACTGACACAGCAGGTTGGCCACCAGGCTCCGGGCAGTCGAGTGACCCGCAGAAGGGGTGGGAGCCAGGGGCCCTGGAGCCTCAGCTTCCTCATCTGTCAGATGGACTCCCCGTAGGTGTGGACAGTTGCAGAGTCAGGCCCCTAGCGATGGCAGTTGGCCCCTCTCTAAGGCATTCCCAGGGGTGCGTGGCTGCCCTCACTTCCACTGGAGGGGGTGCCCCTGAGGGAGCACAGGCTGGGGAGGATGTTCTGCTGGGTCTGTGGGAGCCAAGAACAGCCACATCTGGAGCAGCCCAAAGCTCTCCTCTGGGTGATCCCTTATTGCTTCAGTTCTAACAGGCTGCAAAACTGACACTGCTTTTCAGGAAATACACAAAACATGACACAGCAAATGATGCTCCGAGGGTAAGAGACATCTGGATTTCAGATCTATCAATAATGTGACTCTTAGAAACCAAAAAATACAGCAATGCCTTTCCAATATCCTCAAATTTTGAGCAAAGCATTACTGAAAGTAACCAAGGGATGGAAATTGTCAGGCAGAGGCAGCGTCTCCCAGACAGCCAGTCTGAGGCGCATGAGCTGCTTCTCCCAGCAGGGCCCCCTCTGACAATGTAGGCCTGCCTCAGGGCCAGTTCTTACCTTTTTTGTGGTAGAGATAGGGTCTTGCTATGTTGCTCAGGCCAGTCTTGAACTCCTGGCCTCAAGTGATCCTCCTGCCTTGGCCTCCCAAAGCACTGGGATTACAAGGTGTGAGCCACCACACCTGGCCCCTTAGGGATAGTTCTACAGTCCAGAGAGAGAGAGAGGCTTCAAAGTCATTGGCATTAGTACAGACATGACCCTGTGTTATGTCCCCGTTACAAGTGGCTGAGGACCTAACAAAATGAACGCAGAAATGGAGACCCTCTGAGAATTTCCTGACCCTCCTAGCTGCCCCAGACAGAACCATCTACAGCAGGAGGCAGCATCCCAGGGGTGGGGTGGAGGGTGTCAATGAGGGGTGAGATGTGCACGGAGATGCACATCTCAGAGAGGAAACTCCAGGAGGTGCAGGTGCCCCTGCAAGGGGCAGTCCAGTCCTGGCCAGCAAGGCCAGAGCAGGTGGAGATGGGCAGGACCCTGAAGCCTCACCAGGGCCTGCCGAACAGCGAGGGCTGTCTGAAGAGGTTATAACAGGAATATGCCAACCAAGAGGAAGCTCTCCTTCCTGTGTCGGAGGTACCCCAAAGGAAATAATGCATAAAGTGTCCATTTCCAAGACAAAGTGCCTTAAATCAGCTTAGGTCCGCAAACTACAGCAGCAACAGGATATACTAGGCCCCTGCTTGGATAGCCAATGCCTGTTTGTCACCCCCATCCCCCGCCCCTTAGTTGCCCTCACCTGAACCAAAGTTTAGTCTAAAATGAAAGCTTACTAGCCTCCAAAATAGCTCGCTTGCTCTGTTCTTACCAGCCCGCCCAGCTACTTAGGTCATAAGTCAAATATCTGAAGAGCCCCTGAGTTAACTAGAATTGCAATGCATTGCAACAAAATGTAACAAGACAACCCTAAAGAAAACACCTAAAGCCCCTACCCAACAACCAATAGGTGACGTCCAGGAAGGTTGTGACCTCATAGTACTCAGCCTATGAGGAACCGGGGGCGGGACCTGCGCACAGGGGATAAATTGCTTGTTGAAACTGTGCTGGGTGTGCCAGCCCATTAGACACCCAATCTTGCAAGACCATCATTGAAAGTCTCACTTTGGCTGTTCTCCGGGTCTCTGAGTCCATTCTTTGGGTGTGGATGGGTGAGTTTGTTTCTCACATACGCACATCATGCTCTTTCCAGCACAAGGCCGGCCCGGAAGGGAGGAAGATAATAAAAGTGACTTTAGCACTTAGACCTCCCATGTTTCAGCAGGTGTGGGTAACTGAAGGCTCTGCAGGTCCCTGGGTCTGGGGGCCTCAGTGTTGTAGATGAGGTCCCAGGAGCTGAGAGCGCTACTGCGGCATGTCAGGATAAGGCCTAGGCCTGCCTTCCCAGAAGATGTCACTTCCAGTGAATGTCCGCTCAAAGGCTGAATTTATCAAACAACAGATAATTATTTCATCCTTTTGCTTCTAGCAAGTCTGGGACAGAGCCACAGAAGGGGCTGACAGCATGTAGGTTTTTTTTGTTATTTAAAAAAAAAATCTAACAATCGTTGCCCTTTAATTAAGGTATCTAGACCATTTACATTTAATGCAACTATTGATATGGTTGAGCTTAAATATACTATCTTGCTCTTTTTCTATACGTCCCATTTGTTCTTTGTTCACCCTTTATTGTCTTTTTTGGATTAAATAAGTATTGTCGGTTGTCTCATTTTATCTCCTTTACTGGCTTATTTTTTGGATTTTACCAGTTTTCCCACTGATGTTCTTTTTCTATTCTAGTATACACATACAATCCAGGATACTGCGTTGCATTTAGAATAAATATATTTTGAATAAACGAATGAATGTAGCTCCCCAGCCCTCTGGGGATTTCATGTAAGTGAGATTATGCAGTGTTTGTCTTTTTGTGTCTGGCTTATTTCACTCAGCCATAGTATCTTTAAGGTTCGTTTGTGATGTAGCATGTCAGAATTTTATTTCTTTTTAAGGCTGAATACTATTTTACTGCATGTATAGACCACATTTTGTTTATCCATTTGTCCCGTAATGAACATTTGGGTTGTTTCCATCTTTTAGCTATTGGGGATAATGCTGCTATAAACTTGGGTACAAATACCTGTTCACATCCCTGCTGTCAATTCTTTTGTGTCTATACCCAGAAGTGGAATTGCTGGATCAAACAGTAATTCTATGTTTAGTTTTTATTTTCCTTTTATTTTATTTTTTTGAGACAGAGTCTCACTATGTTGCCCAGGCTGGTCTCGAACTCCTGGGCTCAAGTGATCCTCCCGTCTCAGCCTTCCAAACCACTAGGATTGCAGGCATTAGCCACTGTGCCAGGCTTATGTTTAGTGTTTTGAGGAACTGCCTGCTGTTTTCTGCACTGGCTGCACCATTTCACATTCCCACCAGCAGTGCACAAATGTTCCAATTTCTCCATATCCTCCCCAACACTTGTTTTGTTTTCAAATAATAGCTATCCTGATGGGTGTGAGGTGGTATCTCATTGTGGTTTTGATTTGCATTTCCCTCATAATCAGTGACGTTGAGCATCTTTTCATGTGCGTGCTGTTTTTACATATTCTTTGGACAAATGTTTACTCAAGTCCTTTGCCCATTTTTGAATTTTTTTTAATTGTTCCGTGTTAGGAGTTCTCTATGTACAGATGGTCCCTGACTTACAATGGTTCAACTTACAATTTTTCAACTTTATGATGTTACAAAAGCGATACACATTCAGTATGTTCCTTAACAATATTTCCAACTTGTGATGGGTTTATCTGGATGTAACCCATTGTAAGCTGAGGAGCATCTGTAGAGACAATTTTAATTTTTTTTTTTCTTTGAGACAGTCTCGTTCTGTCACCCAGGCAGGAGTGCAATGGCGTGATCTAGGCTCACTGCAACCTCTGCCTCCTAGGTTCAAGCGATTCTCCTGCCTCAGCCTCCTGAGTCGCTGGGATTACAGGCGCCCACTACCACGCCCAGCTAATTTTTTTTTTTAATATATTTTTAGTAGAGACAGGGTTTTCCATGTTGGTCAGGCTGGTCTCAAACTCCTGACCTCAGGTGAGCTGCCAGCATCAGCCTCCCAAAGTGTTGGGATTACAGGCGTGAGCCATCATGCCTGGCCTTTTTTAAAATTGACACAGTCTTGCTCTGTTGCCCAGGCTAGAGTGCAATGGCGAGATCTTGGCTCACTGCAACCTCCGCCTCCTGGGTTCAAGTGATTCTCCTGCCTCAGCCTCCTCAGTAGCTGGGATTATAGGTGTTTGCCACCACGCCTGGTTAATTTTTGTATTTTTAGTAGAGATGGGGTTTTTGCCATATTGGCCAGGCTGGTCTTGAACTCCTGACCTTAGGTGATTCGCCTGCCTCAGTCTCCCAAAGTGTTGGGATTACAGGTGTGAGTCACTGCAGCTGGCCTAGGCAATTGTCTTTTAAATAGATTATATATATACATATTTAAAGACAGGGTCTTGCCATGTTGCCCAGGCTGGCCTTGAACCCCTATCAAGTGATTCTCCCAGCTTAATCTCCTGAGTAACTGGGACTACAGGCACTTTTAAAAATCAGAAAAAACCCTGCCTTTTGTGTCCTCCCACACAGTGACCATTTCAGGTGCTTGTCATATCTTTGTGTATATGCACTTTCCATCTGGTATCATTTTCCTTCTGCCAGAAAAGCCTCTTTTGATAATTTTTGTAATTCTTTCAGCTTTGTATGTCTGAAAAGTCTTTATTTCACCTTCACTTTTGAAAGATATTTTCACTGGGTATAGAATTCCAGGTTGACATTCTTTTCTTACAAAACTAAATTTGGATAACTGTTTATTCAAGCCAGGCATGGTGGCTCATGCCTGTAATCTCAGCACTTTGGGAGGCTGAGGCAGGCAGATCACCTGAGGTCGGGAGTTTGAGACCAGCCTGACCAACATAGAGAAACCCCGTCTCCACTAAATATACAAAATTAGCTAGGTGTGGTGGCGCATGCCTGAAATCCCAGCTATTCGGGAGGCTGAGGCAGAAGAATTGCTTGAACCCGGGAGGTGGAAGTTGTGGTGAGGCAAGATCGCGCCACCGCACTCCAGCCTGGGCAACAAGAGGGAAACTCTGTCTCAATAAGTAAATAAGTAAATAAATAAATAAATAAGTTTACTCAAGTTATTTGCCCAACCCACAGGTGTTGTTCACTGTCTGCTTGCAGTTTCTAGTGAGAAGTCTCGCTGCCATTCTTTGTTCCTGTAAACACAAAGTGCCTTTTTTCTCTGGCTGTTTTTAAGATTTTTATTTTTCACTGGTTTGGAGGAATTTCATGATGTGCTTCATGTAATTTTCTCCATGTTTCTATTGGGGTTTATTGAGCTTCCTGGATCTGTGGCTTTATGTTTCCACCAAATTAGAAAATTTTACAGTCATTATTTTAATTATATTTATCTAGAGATGGAGTTTCGCTCTTATCGACCAGGCTGGAGTGCAGTGGCGCGATCTCAGCTCACTGCAACCTCTGCCTCCCAGGTTCAAGTGATTCTCCTGTCTTAGCCTCCCAAGTAGCTGGGATTATAGGCAACTGCCACCAGACCTGGCTAATTTTTGTATTTTTAGTAGAGACGGCATTTCACCATGTTGGCCAGGCTGGTCTCCAACTCCTGACCTCAGGTGATCCGCCAGCATCAGCCTCCCACAGTGCTGACTAAGATTACACGCCCAGCCTACCGTTATTTTTTCCAAAAGTTGTCTCCACCCTGCTATGCCCCTCGTCCAGGGTCTCCAGTTACAGGCACAGTGGGCTGCCTGAACCTGTCCCACAACCCAGAGGGGCTCTGCCATTTTCCCCATATTTTTTCTGTTCCCTTTTGGATCATTTATATTGCTATGGCTTCAAGTCCACTAATCTTTTGTTCTGCAATGTCTATTTTGGTTTTAATCTCATCAGTGTATTTTCCATCTCAGACGTTGTATTTTTGTCTCTGGAAATTGTTTGGGCCATTTTTATGTCTTTCATTCCTTTTCTTAACATGCTCCTGTTTTCCTCTATCCTTCTTAATAATGGCCATTCTGATGTCCTTGTCTACTTAGTAGACAGAATTATTCTACCACCTGGTGCCATTTCTGGGTCTGTTTCTACAGACTAACCTTTCTTCTCATTGTGTGGTGTAGTTCCTGCTTCTTTGCAGGTTTTTTTTTTCTTTTTTTTGAGATGGAGTCTCGCTCTGTTGCCCAGGCTAGAGTGCAGTGGTGAGATCTTGGCTTACTGTAACCTCCACCTCCTGGGTTCAAGTGATCCTCCTGCCTCAGCCTCCCAAGTAGCTGGGATTACAGGCACATGCCACCATGCCTGGCTTATTTTTGTATTTTTGGAGATGGGGTTTTGCCATGTTGGCCAGGCTGTTCTCAAACTCCTAGCCTCAAGTGATCCACCCGCCTCAGCCTCCCACAGTGCTTGGATTACAGGCATGAGTTATTGACACCCGGCCTCATGTTTGTTCTAAAAAAAACCAAAATGTTTCCCCCTTACTTTTGAGTTTTGTTGTGGATTCTATTAAAGTACTTGCAACCGTTTGGTCTTTTTCAGGCTTGACTTAAAGTTGTTAGGAAGGCACAGAGCAGTCTCTAGTCTAGGGCTAATCTAGCCTGAATATGGCATCAATATCCTTTTGAGTCCTCTACCCTGTTCTCCATGAATGATGTTTCTCCACACTTAGTGCTGGGAATGTGACTTGCTTCCTGCTTTCTTCCAATGGCTCTTTCCCCAGCCTCAGGTAGTTTCCCAACACACAGGAGCCATCAGTCCTCAGCAGGAGCCTTGTGGGGAACAACACTGAGGCAATTTCTACTCCAGTGTTCCAGCTGCCCTGGGCTCCTGGCGTTTGTTCCCTCTCTCAGGCACTGCTATCCTGCACTGGCTGCTGTCTGCTGTCTACAGATCTGTATCTGTATCTACATCTGGTCGTCTATGGGCCAGTTTTATTGCTCCACCACAGCTGGAAGACCAAGAAATATTTACAAACATATATGCCAGGTACTGCTCTAGGCAAAGTCCCATCCCTCATGGAAGCGACACCTCAGTTAGTAGAGAGAATAAGTACATTTGCATATTTGCTTAAATATGCATTACATCCAGTAGTAAAGTTAGGTAGGGACGGAGAGTGATGGAGGGGTTGTCCTACACATTAGGTCACTGGGATGCTTCTCTGAGCTGAATCCGGGGGAGCCCTATGGCGGTCCAGAGGAAGAGCTCCCCAGGCAGAGGGAGTGAAGGGGGTGCAGGAGAAACATGCTGAGCATTCTCAGAACAGCAGGAAGGCCGGGCTGGGGCAGAGCAAGCCTTGGGACGGGGGAGAAGGGGTGAAGCCAGAGGCTGTGGGGCCACAGGCTTTTACTTTTAAAGACATGTTTAGCCACTGGAGTGTTGGGACAGGGGAGTGACAGATCTGGCTGCTGTATAAGGACAGACTGCCACGTGCAAGGCAGAAGCAGGGAGCCTGGAGGGCGCTATGTAGTGACCCCACAGGGGAGGGAGGCAGGCTGGCTGGAGCAGTGTGGTCCTGTGGGGCAGGGATGCAGCCAGAGGATATGAAGGGAGAAGCCGACAGGCCCGAGGGGGCAGCGACAGGAGTAACAGAAATGAGGGCTTGGGTGGCAGTCTGTTGTGGACACCTGGAAGGAGTCAGCACATGGCTGACTGTGGCCACTTGCTGCTGGTGCTCGCGGCAGACGGTCAAGGCCGTCGTCCTCAGTGCAGGAAGCCCCCAGCCAGTCCTCTGCAATCCCCTTCTAAGTTGCCCCCTGGAATTTTACCACGCTGACCACCTCTCTGAGGGTCCCCTCTACCCGTGACATGGGAGTGGTATATCCTTGGCCCCAGGGCAGCAAATCCCACTCTGGGCCTGGCTCCAACCCACCACCTGGGCACCACTGACTTTTCTCTAAGAATCAGCATCATCTGCTCCTCCAACAGCTTCCCAGGAACAGCGAAGGCTCTTCTTAACTATCCCCGGCACACGCTCCCACCCACCCTTTGCCCCAACCAACCTTTAGTCCAGAGCTTCTCCGAGGGGCTGTGGCTCCACTGCTCATTCATCCCTGGAGGGGCTGGGACCCGCCTCAGTGGACCTGTGTGGGGACCAGCACTCAAGCCCTCTTCTGTCCTCCAGGGCACCCCGCCTCCTCTCCTGTCAACTCCTCTTCCTTCAAGGCCCCACACAAGCTACAATGACTGCAGGGGGAGCACTGCTACGGCCATCTCCCTGCTAGAGCAAAGCTCCCAGAGGGCAGGGGCCTATCAATCACACAGGGTCTGACCACACAGGCACCAAAAAAGTAAACTAGACACCAAGATGTGATGGATCAGGTGTGCATGACAGTGGCATCTGGGGATGGTGTGCGAGTATCACCTCTCTCCACGAGGGTCTAGTACACTGGTTGTGTACCCTGGAGCCAGACCTGGGTCCTTTCTCCCCATTACCAGCTGGGCAAGCTGGGGAGGAGCGTGCTCTGGGCTGAGATTTCCCATCTGTAGCAGGAGGCGAGTGAGGGGCCTCACACAATGCACAGTGGGGTCTCTCGGAGCTGGTGGGTAGACAACAGGTGCAGCAGGCCCCACCCACTGACTGTTCCTTTGGCCATCCCAGGTGGAGGGTCACAAACTCCACCCTCAGAAGTGCTGACAGACAAGAGTCCTCTTGTGCAAATATAAAGAGGTTTATTCATTCTGTCATTAGGATACAAAATAGAACATGTAAAAGGCCTTCCCACTGACCCCACAGTTCAGTATGAACACCGAGCGCTTGTCCAGGGAAGGCTGCCATGCACGGCGTGGCTCTCCGTGAAGACAGCCGGCTTGACCCAGCCTCAGGTCTCGAACATGGCGCAGCTGGTGCACAGCACTTTCTCGTACATGTCACTGCAGCTGCGACAGCGTCAGGGAGGGGAGAGAAAAGCTGCTGTCAGGGGCTGAATTGTGTCCACCAGTCCCCACCATTCAAACGTCAAAGTCCTAACCCAGAATGCTTCAGGACATGACCTTATCTGGAGACAGGATGACTGCCAGCAGAATCAGTCTAGATGACGGCACTGATGTAGGGGCCCTAAGGCAACACGACCAGCATCCTAAAAAGACTACCACGTGAAGAAAAGGACACAGAGAAGGAAGACATGAAGCTACAGGGAGCGGGCAGCTGTCTACAGGGAACACCAAAGATAACAGTAGACGCCAGGAGAGTTCAGGACAGGTTTCCCATCACAGCCCCAGAAGGAACCAGCCCTGCCAGCACCTTCCTCTCAGACTTCTGGTCTCCAAAGCCGTGTGGCAGTACCTCCCTGCTGTCTAAGCCACCTGGTCTGCGAACTCAGGTACAGCAGCCCTAGCTGATTCCCACTGCCAACCAATTTACATGGAGCCCAACCTGGGTTTCCAGTAGGATAGAAGCTCTCCAAAGAAACCTCCAGATGACCTGCCAGAATTCACCGAACCACAGTGGTCTACACTGAAGCACATCAAACAGTGCTTTTTTCTGATGTATCAAGACTAAGGGTAGGGCCGGGCATGGTGGCTCACGCCTGTAACCTCAGCACCTTGGGAGGCCGAGGCCGGAGGATCACCTGAGGTCAGGAGTTTGAGACCAGCCTGGCCAACATGGTGAAACCCCATCTCTACTAAGAATACAAAAATTAGCCGGGCGTGCTGGTGCACACCTGTAATCCTAGTTACTTGGGAGGCTGAGACAGGAAAATTGCTTGAACACAGGAGGCAGAGGTTGCAGTGAATCAAGATCACGCCACTGCACTCCAGCCTAGATGACAGAGCGAGACTCTGTCTCAGGAAAAAAAAAAAAAGCTCTAAGGGTAAAGGTGAGAGAAACCAGCAAAACACAGGGAGAAAGTGATGAAGAGAGACGTTGCGAGGAAACAAGACCGGCAATGGCTACCCCAAACACGATAGGACCATGGAGTCAACAAGGCAGCCAGAACTGCTTGCCACCCGGTGTTGCAGAGTTTGCCAATAGTACTGTGGGTGAGCCGGGAAGACAGCCCCTTCCCTGCCACCAGCAGCCAGCTGGAGAGCCCTGCAGAGGATGGGCAGGATGCCCTGCAGATGATTCCTAACCTGGATGGGGTGCGTTACCCCACTCCTGCCCATGTTGAAGCCATGGGAGCCGACCACAGGCACGCGGCACTTCTCCCTGGTGCTGCCCACCCTCTGCCCAGGGCTCGCCATCTCCAATGAGTCAGGCCTCTGCCCTGACTGAAGAAAGGCTCGAGACAAAGGACTCGAGATGTAACATGTGGTTTCTATTTCAGATGGACAATTTCAGACACTGTTTGGACTAAGCTTGCTTTGGGTCTACAGAGCCAGTTCCACATGTGTCCGGATGAAGTCATCTTTCTCAAGGGGCAGGGCAAACAGGCTCCACACTGTCCACTCCCACCCACCAGCTGAGTAGCCCCTGTGGTGAGAACGCCCCTCCCCACCTTAGGAGTAAGGACGGGATCCAGCCAGCTGCAGCAAACCCACCCACAAATGGGAGACTACGCAAACATTCCACTTCCTGCCTGAGAGGGTCTACAACCAAACAGCACGCATGACTGTGGCGAAGCTGCAGTGTGCACCTGTGTCACCAACCAGGGGCTTCTCAGACAGTGAGGAGGACCGGGAGGGGGGTGCTCAAAGGCCAGAGGAGGAGGAGGTGGGGGCGCTCAAAGACCAGAACAGGAAGCGGCTGAAGACAGAGACCGGAGCTGGATACACAGCAGGTCATCCGTGAGGTTCAGCTTTCCCTTAGAGAGGATTACTACCACTAAAGTTGGGCCAAGCATCTATTGCCACCATGTCCCGTTAGGCAATGCCAGATGGCACTGCATCAGGTGCCACACATGTGGGAGCTCTGGGCCCTTCCCAACATGGGTGACCCACCCGTCCCCCGTCACAGCTTGCTGGGGTTACGGGACCTCAGCAGCTCCAGGGACTGAAGTACTTACTCCACGAGGCCACACAGGGTACAGGCCACAGAGCCACAGCCCCAGCAGGTGCGCACACACCGCCCGCACAGGGCTCGCTCACACTGGCTGCAGACGGCCTTCCCATCTACGGCTCGCACACATGAGGAGCAGGCGATGGACACTATCCCGGATGGGTCTGTGAGGAAGAAACGCCATGCTGTCAGCCTGCAAGGAGACGGGAGTTTCCGGGACTGCTGGGCTACCTGCCTCCATGCACACCTGAGGGCAGAGGGCTCCGACCTGCTTACCCCATCCTCACCCACACTGGGTCCTTCTGACAACCCAGAAGCCTGGCACAGTGCACAGGACCCCGTTTCACTAGCGAGATCCAACGTGAGACATGCCTGCAGGTGACTCCAAGTTCAGTGCTCCTTCCCTCACCAGGTCCCTCTGCTACCTGCTGGAAGGATCACTCTTCCCCTGCTGCTTGTCAGAACTCCATGTGTCCCATCTGGGTCTCAAAGTGTGGCCCACTGCCTTACTGGTTAACCAAGAGGTGCCTGAGCTCCTCCCAGACACACCAACCAGCCTTGAGGTAGTGTCGGGGACTGCATTTCTAACCAGCAACACAGGTGATGCTCTGAGACCCACACTCCACACTGCACAGGGATGGGAGCGGCGTGTTTCCAGCCATGTGGGACCATTCCAGGGGGCTGCACGCGGAAAGCAGATGGGATACCCAGGGAGTCTCTGCTGCTTTTCTGGCCCAGTAGTTAGAAACTGTTTAATCACTTCCAGTCTTGAATGTGAGACCTCCTGATAACAGGAGCCTTCTGAGCCAGAAGGCCAAGCTCTAGGTCAGACTCCTGCTTCCCCAGGGAGGAAACGCCTGAGCTTGCAAATGAAGAAAAGTGCCTGTGCCACCACCTGCTCTCAGTGCCACAGCCACGAAGGGCTGCTGGTGCCACTCACCAGCTTCGGAGGCCTGCCCAAGGCTCCTGATCAGGCGGCCGTCTGGTCCAATCAGCATCTGCCCACGTGCAGCCCTCGGCGCCCCTGTAGGGCCAGGCTTTGGGGACTCTGGCAGGTGAACGACGGCACAGCCTTCATCCCACACATGGTCCAGGTAGGCCTGGGCCCCGAGGAAGAGGAGTCGCTTGGTCTTCTCTGGGGGAAGACAAATCATTCTCACATCCTTCACTGTGTACCAACGAAGCCCCTGCATGGCCACTAAGTCTTTCCAGCCTCACATGAACCCCATCGTCCTCCTGTGTGCCCTCTGTCACCCAGTGACCCCAGCCTGTGTTGTGCCCTGGCGAGCTGGGTCCTGCTCTGCCTCTGAGAATGCTCGTGCCTCCCTTCCTTACCTGGCTTAGTTGTCATCTCCTCCAGGAAGCCTCAGGCCCTGCAGCCCCACCTGTGCCTGATGCAAGGGTTCCCTCTCCTATCACTCTGCTCACTTTTGGCAACCCACGGCCGGCCTTGCCTCACTGAGCTTGTTCCCCTTTCTCCCTTTTCTGCTTCCCCAGCACTCCTCACCTGGAAAGCAGGCTCTGTGGAATGCAGAGAGGGAGCTCTGCACTGTGGAGCACTAATTCACAAAGCTTGTCACTGCCACGGAAGCAGCCAGAAGCTTGGAGCTGGGCCTGCAGCCTCTGGCCAGCGCACACCCCCTTCACCTGCTACAGAGTTGCTGGCAAGACAAGCATCCCAAAACCTTCCAGATCTCGTTCTAGAATACCCACCCATCCCTGGGAGCAGTGATTTTCCATCAGGCCACAGTTCAGTCACTGGGGGAGGTTCAAAAAATCAGATGCCCAGTACCAGACCCAGAAATGCTTTGTTTTTGCTTTTTTTTTTCCCACCTCATTATAACACAGTAAAGGCAGAGATCCCAGAAACTCTATGTGGCTTTACATGAAATGGGCAGGAATAATAGTGGGTAACTCAAATGGAGTAGCTGATGCCAGCCCACAACACCCTGCACCTCTTCCTCCTGGCCCCCCATACCTTCCCCCATCTATAATGGGAAAGGAATGGGACAGACATGTGGTGAGGCTAATCCTTGTCCTTAAGGCCTTGTGGACAATTCGAGGTTAAGAGATCAGGGTGACAGCTGTGGCCTGGAATTTGGAAACTGTCACACAGTTCAAAGTAGATGTCCTGCATTTACCTACTTTGTAAAGAGTAAAGAGCCAGACTGAGCCAGGCCCCGTTTCCATCTTCCTTTCTTGCCTGCACAGTGTTTGAATTTTTCAACTATCCTGAGAGGGCAGACGCCTGCAGTCCAGCCACAGTTCCCATGGCATCATTCCTCTTAACTCCGCATGGCCCGGGATAGCACTCGCTTGCACAGCCCTAGCACACTGGAGACACGGCACACAGGAACCTCGGGAGGGAGCGTCTTTCCTTCATCCCCAAGGCACAAGCGGCACCAGACAAATCACACCCCCCGGGTCATCCTCTAACTGCTCTACAGGTGCAGACCTTGTGCCCCAACCACTAGGCAAGGTAAGCTCCACTTTGTACCTGCCCCAGGGTATTAATCATCCCAGTCAGAGTGATGATCAATAAGACCAACACGCCTGAAATCCAAGGGAGAAAGCCAGAGAAGGCCAGAGAAGGCCTGGGAGCTCACTGCCCTCACATCCCACCCAGAACTGGACATTCCAGCCACACGGAGTCCTACTTCGCTCTCCTGCTGCCTGGCTTCTGCCTCGGCCTCTTCCGACCCTGCCTCTGCCTGGCTAACTCGCACTCTCCCCAGAGGATTCGGCTCAGACTGTTCTTCCGAGAAGCCTTCCATGCCATCCCTGCAGGTGCGACTGCACAAACCTGTGCCTGCCCGGATCACCTGTGGCGACTCCTTCTCCTGCTGGTCTCCCCAACTAGGTTGGGGAGCTCCCGGGAGACGCGACACATCTGTCTTGCCTGCCTTTGGTCTCCCAGGACAGCCGCAGTGCCTGGCAGGGGCGGCGCGCTCCATGAACACCTCTTGGGTCAGGAGGGGCACTCTTCGGGTTAACTCCATGCAGGACGCCCCGCTCCCCGACCCCTCCCAGGGCATCCTGCACGGGACAGTCCTGAAGCAGCACCAGGCAGCTGCCGCTCACTGAGGGGCGGCGACTATCCGGGATCGTGGAAGAGGGCGCGGGGACTAAGGGCAGCGACCCTCTTCTTTCAGGTTGTTGGACAAGGTGGGTGAACGCTGGGGTCCTCACATCCCCCTCACTGACTCTAGCCCTGGGCGTGGCCAGCTTGTGTAACCGCGGCCAGAAAGCAGGGCCCTCGAGCCCCCCGCTCAGGCCTCAGAGGAGACACTGAGGCCCGGCCCGTTCCAGGCCCCGACGCAGTGGACCCTCGGCAGCCCTTCCGGCACTCACCGAAGACCTCCTGCGAGTAGCGCTCGGCACACACGCCGCGGCTCACCTCCCTCTGGCCCACGCGGACCTTGAGCTGTAGCGGGGCCGCGTCCGCGAAAGGGCAGCCCCGCTTGGGCATGGCCTCGGGGCCGGGAGCTACGCAGCTCCCCGGCCGCCAGCCCCTTACCAACGACGCAGTGACGTCACAGCCGCGCGCCCATCCGCGGGCGTGAGCGGGTTTGAGGCAGAGGAAGCGACACGGCGCGTGATAGGCTGCGAGTGAAGTGGGGGGCGGGGCTCCTGCGCGGAGCGGCGCGGGATAGGCGGAGGACGAGATCGGGGGTGGGACTCATACGCCGCTGTACTGGATTCGACCGCGCGGGAAAGGCCAGGGGCCAGGTTGAGGATCAGGGTGGGCGGGTCTGTGGGAGGGATTTGTGCGCACGCGGCTCAGGATAGGCGGAAGGACAGTCTAGGGGCGGGGTTCCTATGCAGTGCGAAGCGAGGTAGGCTGGGAACCAGGTCAGGGGCGGCATTCGGCTGCGCGGGAAGAGCCAGCGGGTGAAACCGAGGGTCAGGACGGTGCGGCAAGGGCGGTGCGTTTAAGGGGCGGAGCTTGTGCATCGGGGGCGGGCCTCGTTTGAGGATCGGCGTGGGATACGCCAGGGCGACGTCGGGGCGGGTCTAGTTTGAGGAACGGCGCGGGATTGGCCAGGGGACGGCCGGGTCGGTGGCGGGATTCCTGTCAGCTTTTGTTTGATGCCTAAACAGTAGACACTGGTTATAGTTCCTCATTTACTTCTCCGAAGTTAAGGGGCAGTCCGCTTTTTCCTAGCTCTTTTTTCCTTTTAGAGACAGGGTCTCGCTCTGTCACCCAGACTGGAGTGCTGTGGTAGTCTCGGCTCACTGCAGCCTCCGCCTTCCGGGCTCAGGCGATCCTCCCTTCTCTGCCTCCCGGGTAGCTGGGACCGCAGGCGTGCGCCTCCGCACTCCGCTTTTTGGTTTTGGGTAGCAACGGGGTTTCGCTCTGTTGCCTCGGCTGGTCTAGCTCCTCGCTGTGGCGGTCCCCGCCTTCCGGAAGTAAAGGCGTGTGGGGGCTGCGCTCCGAGGGCCGTGTGCGGCTGCCGAGCGCCCCCGGGCGGGGGTGTGTGGAAAATGTTCTTGCACAGCGGGGTCGTCTGACTTGGGGTCCCCAGGCCGCGCGGTGCACCCGCGTCGTCGCTTCTCCGGGGTTCTGCTCACCAGAGGCGGCTCTCCCCTGCCCGGCGGGTGCAGAACCGACGCGTCCTGTGGCGTGGGCTTCACCTTGGACTACGTTCTCCTCGCGGCTCGGTCGGCGCCGCCTCCCGTGTGAGGAGCTGACGCCTGGAACCCTGCAAACCCATCCCGCGTGACACCCGCGTCGCAGCTGCCCGCACCCCCTCGGAGGCAGCGCACTCCTCCCTGGCCACGGGTGGCCGAAGCCCCACCAGCCTCCAGGTCAGATGTCCTTTCTCCTTCTCCTGCCGCGGCTTAATGGAGAATTCCTTCTGCTTTAGGGAAATGACTTGAAAGTTGCTCAGTTGGAGTCACGTGTGACTAAACACACATTTGGTTTATCCCAGAAATAGATGAAATTCTCAGAGAGGAGGATTCTTTTCAATCTCATAGATCGTGGGGATTTCTAAAGATTTTCCTGTGTTCAGACTTCAAACTACCCTAGGGTCGCATCACCATCGTGGACAGACACAGAACCTCGGGCAGGTTGTGGAGCGGGGCTGTCCCCCGGGCCGTATGCCGGTTCCTCAGAGGCTGCTGGGCAGGACTCTGCTGCTTCAGCAAACTTGCCTGGCTAACACCACCCGCTCGCCCTTGAATGCCTTCCTGGGCGAAGCCATGAACCCTCCAGGGTTAAGCCCCAATTTTGGGGCTCACCTGCCCTGCGTCAGATGGATACTTAACTTGTAAAGAAACTGGTAGCTGTCCAAAGTGCTAGGAAAAAGGAAAATTCATTAAACAAAATCATTGTCATAATTTTCCTCTAATCGGTCTTGAGGTTTCTTCTGGAGAGTGGCTGCAAACTTTGGCCCTGCCCTGACGGGGCTCTGGGGCCGGTGGGCGTGGGGTTAGTGTGCCCTCGTGGGATGCCTCCTGACCCTGGCTGATGGCCTCAGGCCTGTGTATCCAGCCGTGCTGGCATTCCTCTCACCAGCAGCTTGCTTCTAGGCCTTGGCAGGCAGCCTGTGGCTTTTGTCTGAGCCGTGATCAGTTCATTGCTATCATCATGGCCTCTCTGGGAGATCCCTGACCAGGAGGAGAGTGAGGTTTGGGTGCGAGGGTCAGGTGAGAGCTGGAGGAGGCAGCGCAGCAGAACACATGAAACCACAGAGCGGGTTTGTGACTCACGAGGCTGGAGAGAGGAGGCAGTGTTCCTCACAGGCCAGCGGGAAGGGGGAGCCCTGGGGAACAGGCAGGCCCAGCCAGAGGATGGGGAGAGAGCCAGCGGCCTGTGCACCAAATCTGTATTGGGGTCCAGGGTGTTACCCAAGCGCATTTCCTGTGGGGTGTGGTTTCGAGCTGGCAGGCGTCAGCTTCATGGTATCTTGCTGTGACTGGGTGGTGGTCACTGTGGCATGTCTGCACAGTCCGTGAGGGGTGTGGGGGTCAGGGGCCGAGTCCAGTAGGTTGTATCCATGTGTCCTATAGGGAACTGGTCACCAGCAAGCAGGTGTATAAAGCAGAGATCTGGGTGGACCACCCTGGGGAACTGGGAGGAGGTGAGGAGCTAGAAACTGTGTCAAGAATGACTGAGCTAGGCCGGGCGCGGTGGCTCAAGCCTGTAATCCCAGCACTTTGGGAGGTCAAGATGGGCGGATCACGAGGTCAGGAGATCGAGACCATCCTGGCTAACACGGTGAAACCCCGTCTCTACTAAAAAAATATAAAAAACTAGCCAGGCGAGGTGGCGGGCGCCTATAGTCCCAGCTACTCAGGAGGCTGAGGCAGGAAAATGGCGTAAACCCGGGAGGTGGAACTTGCAGTGAGCTGAGATCCGGCCACTGCACTCCAGCCTGGGTGACAGAGCGAGACTCCGACTCAAAAAAAAAAAAAAAAAAAAAAAGAATGACTGAGCCCTGCTTCTGTAGCAGAAAGTCCAACTTTTCTTCCTAATGGATGCCATTCTGAATAAATCTTATCATAAAACGATAATAATTCACTACAATTATCACTAATTTGTCTTTTACCCATGTATTCAACAGAGACCACTCTGACCCCATCTACACTGGGGCTGTGTTATTGATACAAAGTGGAGAGAGTCCCTTACCTATCATAAGCACTCAGACCCTCCAAACATCTGCTACTGAAAAGAAGGGAGTGGAGACTGGAATGATTGGCCTGGCTGTCTGCACTAACCCACCGCTCAGTCGCCAGAGCCTCTTGGCTCTGGTCCACATGGAAGTGAGTGAGTTGGTGCTGGGGGAGAAGTATTTCCCCTCTGCCCTGGTGTCTTTTTACCCTGTGAAACGCCTGCCGGGATTCCATCCCGAGAGGGAGGAAAACGATGACAATTAGTGTTCTGGTGGAAGATTTAGCACCTACTACAAAACAGAGGTTTGAAAACCTATTTTGCAGCTCTCAAATTTCTATTTAAATGACTTGACTTTGACGGCCCAGTGCAGATACCAGGGCCCAGTGGAGAAAGCCCTCAGCCCCCTCTCCCCAGGAGCTTACCCCTGCCTCGAGGCTCCCTTTTTGTCTCTCTTGCTATGTTATGAAAGGAGAGCATCTGGGAACACTCAAAGGCTGACTTCTGCCTGTGTGTCCCACCCTATCCCAAGGTGGCTGTGCTGCTGAGGGACTCAGGCCTGAGGAAGCAAGTGCCCGTGGCCTGGGGCAGGGCCATGCAGTTGCATGGCTTTCCTGTCGCTCAGGTCACTGAGGGCTGTTCTTGGCACTGTCTAGAAAAGTTGCTTGAATCCCTGGAGTCACAGTAATCTCATAACCCAGCCTATGCCCCTGGGCCCCTGCCGTGTGAGTAGAGCCTGCTGAACTTCCTGTGCTAGTGAGACCGGATGACAGCCACAGTGCTCAAAAGTCAGGGTCTAACCCCACCAGCCTGGCCTTTCTGTAGGATTCCCTGTCTTTGAAAGGATACTGGAAGGGCAGTTGTTTTTCTAAACTTACTCCGAATTCTGAGCCACCGCACCTGGCCTAAGTATGTTTTTTTAAAACTAAACACACTGGTGCGGTGGCTCCCGCCTGTAATCCCAGCACTTTGGGAGGCTGAGGCGGGCGGATCATGAGGTCAGGCGTTCGAGACCAGCCTGGCTAACATGGTGAAACCCCGTCCCTATTAAAAATACAAAAATTAGCTGGGCGTGGTGGCGGGCGCCTATAATCCCAGCTACTTGGGAGGCTGAGGGAGGATAATCGTTTGAACCTGGGAGGCAGAGGTTGTGGTGAGCTGAGATTGTGCCACTGCACTCCAGCCTGGGCGACAGAGCAAGACTGCATCTCAAAACAAAACAAAACAAATAAACAAAAAAACCATATTTAATTCACTTGGTCTCTTATATGGGCTTGTTCTATTTAATTTTCTGAGTAAACACAAGGCTTGGCTTTGTGACCCAAAAAACATGGGCAGCTCTTAGGAAGCTGCATCGTCCAGACTCCTGTCACAGTGAATTGTTGTCTTTCAGTGTTTAAAAGCAATAAAGACAAAGTCAAATCAAACATGTAATGACTGCTCCCATTCAGTGGCCATTGGAGATGTTTATTATGACACTGCTTCAGCTGGACACGCAACCATGTGACACTAATGTGTCATAGAAGGTCTCTGCTTTGAGCACTTTGGCTCATTTTAAATAGCAGAATTTTTAAAAATATACACAAGGCTGGCTTTCCAATGTTTAAAATAATTGTAGAAACCAACAGGTTGAACAGAAATAGAAAAATACAGAAAACGGCTTTCCTGCTTTGGTGTCGGTTGTGGCTGCCGAGGAACGTGATTGCTGCTGTTTCGCTGCCAGGTCTGTTGGGATCAGCTCAGTCTGCAACTAAAACAGCTGGATCATTGACTCTCTTGACTTGCCAACACCAACCCATTTGACTGAAAAAGCAGAAAAGACTGTTATGATATACACTGGAGGCAGAAAATTCAGAAAAGTTTTCTTTAACGTCGTATCTTTCTGTGTAGTTCATCTGGTAAAAAGGGCTATTTTCTCTCCAAATGGAGACAGTTCTAATTTTTAAGTTATAAAGGTAGTGCAAGCCGGGCGCAGTGGCTCACGCCTGTAATCCCAGCACTTTGGGAGGCTGAGGCAGGTGGATCATGAGGTCAGGAGATCCAGACCAGCCTGGCTAATATGGTGAAACTCCGTCTCTACTAAAAAAAAAAAAATTAGCTGGGCATGTGACGGGCACCTGTAGTCCCAGCTACTGGAGAGACAGGCATGAGAATCGCTTGAACCTGGGAAGCAGAGGTTGCAGTGAGCCAAGACCGTGCCACTGCACTCCAGCCTGGGTGATAGAGCCAGACTCTGTCTCAAAAAAAAAAAAAATCTATCTATCTATCTATAATTTAAAAAAAATAAAAATAAATTAAAAAAAAGAAGGTTGCGCATGTTGGGGGACTGATCCTCCCGCAGCAGAAAACAGGAGTCTCTTCCCTTCTCCCTTGGAAATGGCAACCTTAGTTACTTAGTGACTCTCCCTGCAGGCCCTTTCTCTGTAGGTGCAAACACCCCTGGGCTATGAGAGTAAACATACGACACAATCATATGGCTGGCATGTGACCCATCTGTTGTTCTGGATGCGGAGATGCAGGGGCTCCTGGCAAGGTCACACCCACACCCTGGCCACAGGAGCCGCGCTGCCCCAGCTCTGAGTCCTCCTCCCCTCCTGCCATCCAATATATTCACTTGGTGACCACACTTGGTTTTCTTATTGCTCACCAAGCCCTGCGCTGGGATGTGGGCCCCTTGGGGCATCCAGGGTGCAGGGAGGGTGGCTGGGGATGCAGGGCACCCACCTGCGACTCCCACGTGATTCTCCACAAAGCGGATGTAGTTCTGGGCCTGCGGGGGCAGGTCCTCCCACCTCCTGGCGCCTGTGGTGTCTGCTTTCCAGCCAGGCAGCGTTTCATATTCGACTTCGACCTTCTGAAGCATCTCCTGGTTAGCTGGGGGAAGCACACAGGAGATGAGTGGGGCCCACAGACCTCTCTCCTATCACCAAGGAAGCAAATATTTGGTGACACGGCCACCCCCATCCAGGGCCTCCTTGTTCAGGGACTCAGCAATGAGGAAGGCAGCAAGTGGGCACGTGGCCCAGTTTGATTTTCTCAGTGTTGGGTGGTGAGCAGGGGACATCAGTGGGGCTCAGACACTGACTACATGCCTTCCAGACCAGAGGGACATGACACATATGTGCTACCCACTCTGCTAGAACCTCCACTGTGACATCAGCTGAGGCACTCCAAGCCTTGGCTTGGAAATTCTGAGACTCTAGAATCCTGAAGCACTAAGGGATCCTGAAGCATCTATGTCCTCCCACCCCAAGAACATCAGCTCCCAGAGGGCAGGGACCTCCGCTCTGTGCAGGACTCTGTGGCTCATGGTAGAAGACGACCACCCTTACAGATGGAAGATGCTGGAACACAGGTTCTCGCTGCAAATGTGTTTGAGCCTTGGAGCCAGTCAGTGTTTGCATGTCCTCCTGGGACCCTGGACCACCATGAGGAGACCTTGCAGGCCTCAGCAGTGCATCCTCTCAAAGGTCAAGGGTCAGGAGGTTCAGGGACACTGCCTGCAAGGACACACAGGGCTCCTGTGGCCAGGTGGCCCTCTGTGGTCTACACAGATCTGCTGAATGGAGACCAGCCAGGGGCAGCTCACCCAGGGCCGCTGGGGAGGAAGCCATTATGGGGGTCAGAACATGACCCTGGACTGAGGTTGAGGGGGCACGTCCAGATGCACACGAAACTGTGAAACCCAGGAAAATGGCATCTCCTTCATGCTTTCCAGAAGAAGGGG